AATATAAAAGAAACCTATAGTTTTCATTACAACATCCCTTCCTCAAGGGTGGGAACTATATCGTGACAACACTGTGGCCGGCATCTGATCCCTACAGTGTTTATTTGACACGGAGATAATATTCTCAGTACAGACAAAACACAAGAAACATCCCATATAACAGAATAGCATGGTACACTGGGCCTCAAGTTAAAAATGCATTTAAAAATCGAATCACAAGTGGATGTTTTCCCACAGTAAAACCATAACATGAAATTCCTAGAGCACTTAACGATGATCTTGCTGTTTTTAGCGCACTGTATCCATGTCCTGAGTTCAGTCAAGAAGTCAAGGACAAGGTTTACAGGAACTTGAATTGCACTAATTTTCCTTTTATTAGTAACGAAATCCATTTTCGAATATAGCTTGAGTACTGTTGTCTTGTCCCTGATCTCCAGGATGCCAAGATGATTTCTGAAGCTTTTCGCGATATCTTTCGCATTTCCAAAGTTTTCCTGATAAGCGACACGCTATTAGAGTTAGTTTCTTGTGTAGTAGATGTTTCTCCCTGGAGTGAGATAAAGACAGAATCCCTCTCCGAAGAATCACTGGAGTTCGTATCAACAAATCCATTAGCAATGGATACCAGCACTGTGTTGGCCATAGTGGTACCACAATCAAACACTCTGCTTGGTCTGTCTTCACCTTCTGTAGTGTTCTGCTGATTAGACTGAAAGGAGGAAAAGCATAGTAATAATCTGTCCATTGAAATGAAAATACATTCATAAACTTTGCATCAGGATCAGGTTTCCATGAACAATATAGCATCAACTGTTTGTTTTGCCTAGATGCAAACAGATCGAACTCTGGGAGTTCAAAAATATCAGAAATTCTTTCAAAAATTCCAACTTCTAGCTTCAATTCAACAGAGTCATTGAATTCCCGAGAAAATTTATCTGCTATATTGTTTTCACCAGGTAAATGATCAGCAGGAATCCAGACATTTCTATTCATACACCAAAACCAAATTTCTTGGGATAATTTATTCAATCTTTCCGATTTTATGCCACCCATGATATTTACATATGCATTTGCACATGTATTATCTGTCATTAACTTTACATTTCGTAGGGGGGGGGGGTGGTTAGTGGTGCCTTCTATTGCCTCAAATCTTTCAGTGGTAACTTCTATTCCCTCAAATCTTTCAGTGATGGCTTCTATTGCCTCAAATCTTTCACTCTTCGTACCCATTTCACACATATTCCCGTTTCCCGTTTACCAGGGGGGGTCATCGTTTTCCAGGGGGGGTCCATGGTAACTTTTTTCTTGTTTTAGTATAGAATTAGAATATTAGAATTAGAATATTTATTCAACCAATTTGGGCCCACAGTGGAGCATACAGAACAGTGTCCAAAATCATCACAGTTATACATATACAAAACAGAACAAAACAAACATTGTATAATGAACAGAGAGTTAGTTATCTTCTTTTAGGATGTATAGAATGTACATTATAAGTGGCCTATGTGTAATATCTGCAATATACCTATATTGAACTATGTTGTTTTCTCTTATTAAAATTTGCATTTAAAAGTTGGCATAATAAAACAACAAACTCAGAATCTTCATTTGACATAATCCATGTAAAGAGGTCAACATTGTTAAGCAGTATCAAATTTGGAAAGGTTTTCAAGATTTTATCTAAAAACTCTCTTCTTGAGTCATTATAAAGTGGACATTCTAGCAAAAGATGCAATTCATCCTCAGTTGGACTTAGGTGCAGTAACGACAGATTCTCTCACACCTGGGAAGAATTTCATTTTTACCACATTTATTAAGTTTCCTTTCATATCTACCCGTTTCTACCCTTAAACAATGATTACTAATTCTGAATTTTGCGAGAATTACCCGATTGTCTCGGTTTTTCATATTCAAGTATTTTTCAAAATAAAAAGACCTTTTATACTTAAAATATGTATTTAATTTACCAAAGCCTTCCAAATAATTGGTACGAATATCGTTCCAAGTGTTTAAAAAACTATTATTGAGTTGTCTTTTCATGTACAATTTAAATTTGTTTTCACTTAGTTTTTTACAAAGGGACAAATTAATATTAAGTTTTTCACTGTAGAATAATATACTGGAGTACCAATCACTGTTGATGATGTTTGATTTGCACTCATTGAGAGCTGCTTTCAGTAGGTTAGATGATGTATGTTCTAGTCTATACCAGTACATGAATATTTGCTTTAACATGTCTATATATAATGGGTACCTCCCTAGTTCAGAATAGATTCCTACATTTGTACAAGATTTAGATACACACATAATGTATTTACAGAATTTCATATTGAGTTTTTCAACTTCCCAATCTTTAAATATATCAAAAAGAGGGATATTTTTCCTTTTTGGAGTAACATTAATAATGCTCCAGTTCTCACAGCCATATAAAGATATAGGTTTAATACAGTGATCAAATATATGTAAAAATGTTTTTAAGGAGGGGTTAGCATTTTTCACATCCCTATAGAATTTAAAGCATGCCTTTAAACTTTTCTGATACAGTTGTTTTTTGGCTTCAGTAAACTTTCCATTGTTTGCAAGAGTTGTCCCTAAATATTTATATTGTTTTACACATTCTATAATGTCATTACCAAGTTGGAATGCTTCCTTCAGTGATTTACCAGAGTTATTAAAAATTATTACCTTTGTTTTTTTATGTTTACTTCTTGACACCACTCACTACAGTAATCATGGAGAAGATTGAGTTTACATTGAAGATCTGATTTTGAATTGGATAATAAAACAAGGTCATCTGCATACAGGAGACATGAAATCATTTCTTTATCTAAAGTAACAGAAACAGAATTATGATTCAAAATACTTGGGAGGTCATTTATAAAGAGTTTAAACAAATTTGGACTAAGGATTGTCTGACCCCAACCCCAGATGTGAAAAAATCTGTCATTTTATCATTTACTTTCACACATAATCTATCATTCTTATACATAGATTTTAAAATTCTGTAAAAATATCCATTTATATCCTTTGATTGCAGTTTATACATAATGCCAACATGAATAACTTTATCAAAAGCCTTTCGAAAATCAACAAAACAGGCATATAATTTCTTATCACCAGTCTTGAGATATTTGTTGAGTAAACATTTTAACACAAATATATGATCTGAAGTGCGAGATTTCTTGGAGAAACCTATCTGTGATTTATGAATAGTATCATTTTCCAGCAAAAAATTGTCAAGTCTATTATTCAATATTAAGTTAAATAATTTTCCAATACTATTGTTAATAGCTATGCCTCTGAAATTTTCTGGCTTATTTGGATCATCAGATTTGAATAGAGGACAAATAAAACTTTCTGACCATTTTGAAGGATACTCTCCAGATGTAAATACAGCATTAAACAGTTTTAACAAGCAAGGATTGATGAAATGTTGTGATGCTTTAAGCATTTCATTTGAGATATTGTCTAATCCAGGTGTTTTTTTCATCTTAAGCTTAGAAAATGCTTCTTGTAATTCTGTGTTTGTAATTTTTTTGTCTATCATAGAGAAACTGTAATTATTATGTTCCATTACTTTTAACTTTTCTTCTAAAACATCTAGTTTTTTTTTCATTTTGTCTGAAACAGAAGTAAGATCTGAAAAATATTGGAACCAAGTATCACCCTCGATGCAGTTTTGATCATCTATTTTTTCGTTCCGCAACTGGTTCACTAAGGACCAGTATTCCTTAGGATTATTAGACTCTAAATCATCAAGCTGGTTTAAAATGTTTTGTTTAAATTCTCTTCTCTTTTTTTTCCCTTAGTTTTGAATATTGTTTGTTTAATTTAAAAAAGGAACCTCGCACTTTTGGATCTTTAGGAAAGTGAGACAGTGTTAATGCTTTATTTTGAACAAGTTTTTTTCATTTTCAATAAGTCTTGATCAAACCATTTCTTGTTTTGCGTTTTCATTTTAAATTTCTTCTTTTTCTGTAATGAAGCTATACAAACTTTATCATAAATCATATGTATTTTGTTAGTGGCATTATTTATTCCAAAATTGTCTAGAGGGATTTCTTCATCTAAGAACTGTCTCATTTCCTTTTGTATTACAGGATGTGCAAAAGTCTCTTGAAAATTTAGTGCATTGTTTGCATTCCATACATAACGCAAAGGAAAATCATGTAATAGAGACTCATTATTCATATAATCATTATCAAAGGATGCTAAAATCTTAAAAGAAAGTTTACAGTGGCAATCAGAAAAATTTGCTTTAAAATCTGATACACCCATATAAAGAATATCATGAAATAGACTTTGTGAAACAAGCACATAATCAACTACACTACATCCATAAGACTTTAGACAGGTAAAATTGCCTGAACTATCACCAAAGCATCTTCCATTCAAAATACGTATTTGGTTACTTATGCAAAATTCTAATAAATCTTTGCCTCTAACATCAACAACATTATCTTGGCTAACTCTCTGTTCAATTGCAACATCAATATTATAGTTATTGTTGTTAACTGGAATGTGAAGGGTACTGTCATCTATTATACAGTCTGCATCTGATCCCGTTCTGGCATTAAAATCACCAGTTAGAATGATATCTCCTAAGTTCTTATATTTCTCAACAATGCTATTTTCAAGTAATTCTAATAAATCAACATTACTTTTTGGTGCATAATAAACAATGCATAGATATATATCCCTCTTAAAATTAAAGAAATCTCTACACAGTTTTATCCACTGATATTCTGAAGTGCCATCATTAAGGATCTTAATTCCCTTTTTAATGCTTTTACGGACCAAAATGCCAAGACCTCCAAAGTATCGATTGTTTCTGGATTTTTGACGACAAAAAGGATAGTAATTAAATTCTTCAAATTTGATGTTATGTTCATATCCCACATGCGTTTCTGTTAAGGCTGTTCAAAGTTAATTCTATGTTTAACGTCACATCTAAAGTTCAAAACCTACGAGGGAGGGAGGAAAAAAATAAACAAACAAAATTTTCAAACAATTGTGAATTTATTCAAATTAACCTATTCGGTTTATTAAGAATATTACAATTAAGTAATGAGAGCATTTAATTGATATGACACCTAAGATTAATTTCCCTAGCAGAGTTTTTCCTTAGTATGTAAATCAGTTTGAGTCCTATTGTTAGCAAACAATGTAGTCTAAGACTGAATGTCAGGAAAGTGGCTTTTAACTAGGCCTCAGTTGTCCTTTGGATTTATAATGCCACACGTTCATGGTACCCTGGAGGCAAATGCTTCTTCTTGTGGGAATAGTTGATCAATATCTACAATTAAAGTTATTGATGACAATATTTAAAACTGTTCATGTTGAAATATCTCAAATTGAATTATGTCTTATTTTTTTTTAGTACTAGATCTACTAGCATTAAGTTTTGAAAGTGTGAATACTAATATCTGGACCATACTGACACTGTTAGATTATCTTTAATACCTTGAATTCCTCACTAAAGAGAGGATTCTTCACATCTTGGAATACCCCAACTTCTTTCCTTACTCTCCTTCACTTGAAAGGCCCTATCTTCAGTAAGCTTCTCCCTGCTCAAATGGTTATGACAAGTATTATCTTTTCCAAAAATTGTAGCTATTTGTAGGTACATGAATTATGAAGAAATCAATTACTTTACATATTAAATAAGATTTGAAAGATGCTTTTCACTGTATATAAATCTTGGTTTTTGACACACTTTCCACTCAGTAAAAAAGTTTTTTCGATTCTCTCCAAAATACAATGAAAAGTTCAGCCAATAAAATCACGAACTGAGAGTCCGTCACTGTCAGCTTGAACATGTGATTCGAAGACTGACAAAAAAAAAATCAACAAACTAGACTTTGTCATTAACTTCAATCATAAAATCTTCTATTTTTTACTTACATTTATGGTCCCAAAGTCTTTAATTCACTAGTTTTCTTTAATAAGACACCAACTGCCTTTATCAAAGCACGTTTTCTGTCACTACGGGAAGCAGAATTCAGTCGCTAATTGTAGAACCAAGGAACAGACATACGGAATTCCGAATTGTTTGTTTTTTTCAAAGACGAATTTCTCATAAACCTGCGCGCGCGGGTGACGTTAAACGTAGTTTTAATTTTAAACAGCCTAAAAGAACTAAGTCGAAGTTATTGAATTCTGCTAAAAACTCTTTATCTAGGGTCTTGTCATAATGTTCAGATAAGAGACCCCCAACATTCCAACTACAAATATTTAAACTGCTTCTCATGTGAATTGTATATAACAAATTGTGGGAACAGTAATGGTAATAATGAGGCTGTAAATAGGTATATACTAATTCTAAAAGAATAATTGACAGAAGTATTATACAATAAAATATTGTACAGCCGATGGAATATTATAATAGTAACTATAGATAAAAACTTGCAACCGGTTGGTTGATATTTTATGATTATAAATGATTTTGTACAATGACAACAATGTTATATAATGGTGTTAATAAAAAGTTTAAACAGGGTATCACTATTGACTATAATTGGTTGGACAAATATTCAGTTTGTTGTACAAACTATTACAACTAAATGGTAAACTATGAAACTAAAATGTCTAGATTTACAAACTTGAATACACAAGTAAATTACTTTTAATCAAGAAAAACGGTAACGTGACAAGACTTGAAAATTGGCAAACTTTGAGTCACCAATGAGACTTGAAATCATGTCCACGCCAACGGTCACCTCCCCGACCCTTGTTACCATAATACGGGGTATTGTAGTAGCCTCTTCCTTTGTACTGCATTACGCGACGAGATAAGTTCAAAGCTGTGTCAACTGAGCTGCGTATGTTAGATGCCAGCACTGCCGTGCCTTGGTGGGAAAGGTGGTATCCGTCCTTAGCATCAACGTATCTTAGAATTACTTCTCCCTTATACGCCATGTTACTATTGTCGCAAAAGATAACAAGACTATCATCCTTCAGTTTCTGTTTTAGCAGGGCAGTGACTATCTGTCCTCTGGTATTGTATTTATCCGAGTCTTTCCTTGGAGTTGGGAGTGAAATTACAATTTTTGTAACTGGCATTTTGTCGTGAATTAATTTGCATATCTCTGACATCTCTTCTACACATGCATTAGGAGTTTTATTTCTTAAATCATTTGTCAATGAGTGTAACGTAATAAGATCTGGAGTCTCTGTTAAATTTCTGATTTCTTTAACAGTATCTTCTAAAGTATAGGCAGTTATTTTGTTCACAATATACTGGGAAGAAAGTTTATCTGGGTTTATTCCTTTTATATTGGAAGTTCCAATCAAGGTGACATGGGGTTTTACTTGGTTTTGATGAGTTGTTTTTGTTTTTGTTTGGAAGTCCCCGCTGTTATCGTCACGGCAATTATGTAACTTTAAGCTCACAATTTCTTCATCCTTTTTATCAAGTTGTGTCTTCATTGATGCAATTTTTGTCTCTAATGTATCCATCTGGGCAGATCTATCTGCCATGATATTTGTGGTCTTTTGCAGGTCTTCTGTGTACCTCTTCATTTTCTCTGAGAATGTGTCATTCTGTTGTTGCAGAGATGAACATTTTGCTTCTAGGTTAGATTTTAATACCTCTTTTTCAAGTGTTGACATGTGATTGAAACTGTTCATTTTTGTTTTGAGTTCTGTGTTTTCTTTTTCAAGGTTTGATGTCTTATTCATAAGTTCATCAAATTTGTTCAGTAGTTGTGTGAAATTCACTGCATTGGCTTGCATGCTTTGATTATGTAGTTTTTGCATTGTTTCTAGCTTTGTTGTTAATATTGCTGTGTTGATTAAATATCCTTTCAATCGCACCTGTGAAATAGCTTTCCATTCTAGACATAAATGTCATCACTTGGGTTTCTGCTTTTTCTCTGGGTGTAATACTCTGGCATTCAGCTAGATCACTTTGCTCTGTGTTACAACTAGCGTCCACTTTCGGCATTAGAAGATTTGGTCGGTCTATGATATTGGTGTCTGTGACCCATTTTTCTTTTGTTTCTGTGTCATTCATGTCGCTCCCTTGACTACTATTGTCATCACATTCATGACTTTGTGCATCATCAGCAATTAGTGATTCTTGAATTCCATGCACGCTCTGTGCTTTCTGATTGAGGGAGGCAAAGTACTTGTCCTTAAATTGAACACATTTGAATAACTACGGAGCCTGATTGGTAGAAATTTATTTTCACGGAGTTATTGACCGAGCCTTCAGAGTCAAAAACTACTTTTATAACACAACAAATATCACTGGTCGTCACCGTTGTTTTTTTCTCATCGAAGAAATCAAGTACTGCTTTTTTCCATGCCGGTATGGATTCACTAGCTAAATGAAATGTAACATTGTTAATTTTCCCATCACATTGTATGTGTTCTTTTGGTATCTCTGTTCAGAAATGCCTTCATTGTGTTTGGCCGGGGCCATACCCTGGTTCCTACGACCTTGCGGCATCATGTATATCTAAATATTTATATGAAACGTTACCTGCCACTTCACAAAACGCAGTATTATGAGTATATTGTTCAGATTGTTGTTAAGACACTATTACCAACATGGGGACGAGGTAGGCACCGTGAAAATGGACAATTTTTATTCGCTGACCACGTTGTCCATGTGCACCCCATTACCGGAAGTTCAGAGTATATACATTTTTTTTACCTGGTAAATTCCAGGGGGGGAGGGTCCTCCCCCCCCCCTAGATCCGCGCATGCTATGATTCTCTGTTGATTGTGTACATTTTCTATCCACCAAAACAACTCAGTCTTAGCCTTTTCTGACAAATTTAAAATGGCATCAAAATTTCCATTATTTTTCCTTAAAGTCTCTATTTTGTCCAATTCTACATTTCTATAAAATAATGGACCATATTCTACTGCAGAAAACTTGCCACAATCAGACCAATTACTCTAGCTAGTAGACGAACAACTTCCTTTTTTCCACACTTCCCTACATTCCTCAACAATAGTGTCTGCTCTACTTGGACTTAATGTGACAATCATTTTGACAGAGTCAATAATATTTCCAAGAAAGGTAATACAATGAGATGGTACACAAACAGATTTTCTTTTCATTTATGACCAAACCTAGTCTTTCCATCAACCATCTACCCCCGTAGGGACCCGGGGTGACAAGAATAGGTCCCTGGCACCCCCTTGCATGTCGTAGGAGGCGACTAAATGGGGCAACCTGTTGGCCGTGGGTTGCGACCCGTGTTGGTGGAGGAGGGGATCCTGGTGGCTGAGGTCCGCAGGTGCTGGGTGCAATGCATCTGTTTGACCAACACTCCACTTTGGCCCCATATTCATCTAGACGGGAGGTCAAGTTTGGCCCGACTTGATCAATCGGCTAGTCATGCCGAGCTGATAATATTAACATGCCTTAGTATTGATGTTTTGCAATTTTTATTAACTGTCTTCTCTGTTTTGCAATTTCCAATACGCCGACGTTTCCATGTTGATATTGATATATTAAGCGGTGGCTGAGGGTCAATCAGGCACTTCATGTCTGAGTATAGTTTCTTTGTATCCTCTTGGTATCAGTCTTACTGGATGTCCGTTTGACTAGATATCGCCCTTGTTGGCGCTCCGAGGCGGGCGGGGAGCAAGGATTCTGAAATTTTTCCTCTATAATCATGGCTCTCTCAAAAAAACGTTGCTACCCAGCAGGTTTTGAAATTACTTTTAATGATGAACAACTGAATTCGGTTGTGGAACACTGGCCCCGCTTCATCACACTTGAAGCACAATTATCAGAACAACAAACGAAGCCTTTAACAAAGATATCACCATTTATCATTCAAAAAGGTATTCAAGGAATCATCGGTACTCCTAAATCTGTTAAAAAGTTGAGATCCGGAGCTCTACTTATTGAAGTTACCAAAAAACAGCAGTCAACTTCTTTACTAAGTTTGAAAATGCTTGCCGATATTCCTGTTGTTGGTAAAATCCACAGTGGATTAAATCAAAGCAAAGGTATCCTTTTCGACAGAGATCACGACCTGGATGACATTCCTGAGCAGGAAATCCAATCCGAGTTGGAATCCCAGGGAGTGGTCTTTGTGAAAAGGTTTACAAAAAAGCGGAATGATAACATAGAACCGACAAATACGTACCTTTTGACTTTTGGTATACCAACATTACCAACAAGTATTAAAGTTGGACTTTATCATATGAAAGTTGAAATGTTTGTTCCAAATCCTCTGCGTTGCTTTAAGTGCCAGAGGTTTGGACATGGACAATCCAATTGTAAAGGCTCTGAATCCTGCTTCAGGTGTGGTGAGGAGGGGCATGATGGTAAAGATTGCCATAATGACCCCAAATGCAAAAACTGCAAGGGCGGGCACATGGCTTCCTCCAAACAATGCCCGATGTGGAAAAAGGAAAAAGAAATTCAAAAAGTTAAAGCCGAAAAACGCATTCCTTATCCAGAAGCCAAAAAAATGGTCAACATGTACAGTATCCCAAGACCGAATCTGACATCATATTCAACTGTTGTTAAAACGTCCTCTTTGAAGGACATGTCTACACAAGTCTCTGAGAAAGACTTTCTTCAGCAGACTTC